TCTGCAGTTCACTCTTGTCAGAGCCCCTTGTTCCAATGCCAATCACAACGACGCCCTGCTGTTTGAGAGCAGAGGCTGGGGTATCTACATTGTCAAAAGACCTTCCGCCATTTAGCAGGATCAACATCTGTGGAACACCTTGCAGGCGTCTACTCCCGGAGGAGTTTGTAAAGACGTTGTCCCTGACGTATTGGAGGGCTGCCCCGGTGTTGAGGGGTCTGCCTCCTCTGTGTTTCAGCCCTCTGACCGAATCCAAAACATCCTCTCTTGTGGTGTACGTGTTCAGATAGAAATTGACCTCTGCATCTCTGCTGTACTGGACCACAGAGACACGGTCTTTGTTTTGTCCCACATTGAGTTTCTCCACAACTCTCTCAACAAACTCACGCATGGCGGGGAAGCCATACCTTGTGGAATCAGAACCATCCAGAAGGAACACGATATCTTTTTGGCAGTGTCAACTGAGAAAAGACAGGAAGACAAAAAAAATAAACACCTTTTCAAAGACTGCGCTACTGGACTAGTCATCAAGTGGTGGACGATTTATTTCTGTTTTTCTTTGTGAAAGAACCTAGCACTGACTTCTTTAATTGTAAAGAGTAGCTATGCAGACCACCAACTATCTTTAAATACTCATGTGGAGCTAAACACGTATCAAACTTAATTCTTTTCTTTTCTCTCAATCTAGGTTAAACAGGTCAGGTAGCCTTTCAGGCCAGCAAGAGGCTGTGCTTGTTAACATACCAGTGACTGTTGGTGATTCTGGGGAGGCGTCAATAACCACAGCCTCCACGGAGGACTGAAGTTGCTGTTGGACACTGGGAAGGTCGGTGAATTCAGACACAGAGAGAGCATAACTGGGATCGTTTGATATCTCCTGCAGTTGTCTGCTATCAGCACTCCTGGTTCCAATTGCAAAGATCAAGACACCCAGCTGTTTGAGAGCAGAGGCTGGTGCATCAACACTGTCAAAAGACCTTCCACCACTTAGCAATATTAGGACCTGTGGAACTCCTTCCGGGCGCCTGCTTCCGGCAGAGGCCGTGAAGACATTATCCCCCAGGTACTGGAGGGCTGCTCCAGTGTTGAGGGGCCTTCCGCCTTTGTGCCTCAAACCTCTGACAGTGTCGAGGATCTCGGCTTTTGTGGTGTACGTGTTCAGATAAAACTGGACAGCTGGATCTCTGCTGTACTGAACCACTGAGACACGGTCTTTGTTGTCATCCACACTGAGTGTCTCTACTACTCTTTGGACAAAGTCTCGCATAGCTGGGAATCCACTTCTAGTACTATCAGATCCATCCAACAAGAACACAACATCCTTTCCTGGTGCCTTTCTCTCCACTAGGGAACATAGAAATTCAGACATATTTAGGTTCATGTGTTGAAAACGTTTCCGATGTGAAAGTCATATGACGAAAGCTAACCTCCATGTTTACACCTTACTTAACAAATTGCAGGCAAACCTGTTTTGTCAAAGTGGCACCGGCTGACCTCAACTTAGTAAAATACGCTTTAATGCAGTTCATGTTGCATCCTACCATGCTTTTGGAAGGTAAAAATCAGTCACTTTCTTACCAGGTACTATTGGTGTCACAGATGGGGCCCTCACTGGCACTGTGCTCATTACAGAGGAGAGCTGTTCTTGGACACTGGGGAGGTCAGTGAACTCAGTTACCGATAGAGCGTAACTAGGGTCATATGATATCTTCTGCAGTTCACTCTTGTCAGAGCCCCTTGTTCCAATGCCAATCACAACGACGCCCTGCTGTTTGAGAGCAGAGGCTGGGGTATCTACATTGTCAAAAGACCTTCCGCCATTTAGCAGGATCAACATCTGTGGAACACCTTGCAGGCGTCTACTCCCGGAGGAGTTTGTAAAGACGTTGTCCCTGACGTATTGGAGGGCTGCCCCGGTGTTGAGGGGTCTGCCTCCTCTGTGTTTCAGCCCTCTGACCGAATCCAAAACATCCTCTCTTGTGGTGTACGTGTTCAGATAGAAATTGACCTCTGCATCTCTGCTGTACTGGACCACAGAGACAAGGTCTTTGTTTTGTCCCACATTGAGTTTCTCCACAACTCTCTCAACAAACTCACGCATGGCGGGGAAGCCATACCTTGTGGAATCAGAACCATCCAGAAGGAACACGATATCTTTTTTGGCAGTGTCAACTGAGAAAAGACAGGAAGACAAAAAAAATAAACACCTTTTCAAAGACTGCGCTACTGGACTAGTCATCAAGTGGTGGACGATTTATTTCTGTTTTTCTTTTTGAAAGAACCTAGCACTGACTTCTTTAATTGTAAAGAGTAGCTATGCAGACCACCAACTATCTTTAAATACTCATGTGGAGCTAAACACGTATCAAACTTAATTCTTTTCTTTTCTCTCAATCTAGGTTAAACAGGTCAGGTAGCCTTTCAGGCCAGCAAGAGGCTGTGCTTGTTAACATACCAGTGACTGTTGGTGATTCTGGGGAGGCGTCAATAACCACAGCCTCCACGGAGGACTGAAGTTGCTGTTGGACACTGGGAAGGTCGGTGAATTCAGACACAGAGAGAGCATAACTGGGATCGTTTGATATCTCCTGCAGTTGTCTGCTATCAGCACTCCTGGTTCCAATTGCAAAGATCAAGACACCCAGCTGTTTGAGAGCAGAGGCTGGTGCATCAACACTGTCAAAAGACCTTCCACCACTTAGCAATATTAGGACCTGTGGAACTCCTTCCGGGCGCCTGCTTCCGGCAGAGGCCGTGAAGACATTATCCCCCAGGTACTGGAGGGCTGCTCCAGTGTTGAGGGGCCTTCCGCCTTTGTGCCTCAAACCTCTGACAGTGTCGAGGATCTCGGCTTTTGTGGTGTACGTGTTCAGATAAAACTGGACAGCTGGATCTCTGCTGTACTGAACCACTGAGACACGGTCTTTGTTGTCATCCACACTGAGTGTCTCTACTACTCTTTGGACAAAGTCTCGCATAGCTGGGAATCCACTTCTAGTACTATCAGATCCATCTAACAAGAACACAACATCCTTTCCTGGTGCCTTTCTCTCCACTAGGGAACATAGAAATTCAGACATATTTAGGTTCATGTGTTGAAAACGTTTCCGATGTGAAAGTCATATGACGAAAGCTAACCTCCATGTTTACACCTTACTTAACAAATTGCAGGCAAACCTGTTTTGTCAAAGTGGCACCGGCTGACCTCAACTTAGTAAAATACGCTTTAATGCAGTTCATGTTGCATCCTACCATGCTTTTGGAAGGTAAAAATCAGTCACTTTCTTACCAGGTACTATTGGTGTCACAGATGGGGCCCTCACTGGCACTGTGCTCATTACAGAGGAGAGCTGTTCTTGGACACTGGGGAGGTCAGTGAACTCAGTTACCGATAGAGCGTAACTAGGGTCATATGATATCTTCTGCAGTTCACTCTTGTCAGAGCCCCTTGTTCCAATGCCAATCACAACGACGCCCTGCTGTTTGAGAGCAGAGGCTGGGGTATCTACATTGTCAAAAGACCTTCCGCCATTTAGCAGGATCAACATCTGTGGAACACCTTGCAGGCGTCTACTCCCGGAGGAGTTTGTAAAGACGTTGTCCCTGACGTATTGGAGGGCTGCCCCGGTGTTGAGGGGTCTGCCTCCTCTGTGTTTCAGCCCTCTGACCGAATCCAAAACATCCTCTCTTGTGGTGTACGTGTTCAGATAGAAATTGACCTCTGCATCTCTGCTGTACTGGACCACAGAGACACGGTCTTTGTTTTGTCCCACATTGAGTTTCTCCACAACTCTCTCAACAAACTCACGCATGGCGGGGAAGCCATACCTTGTGGAATCAGAACCATCCAGAAGGAACACGATATCTTTTTTGGCAGTGTCAACTGAGAAAAGACAGGAAGACAAAAAAAATAAACACCTTTTCAAAGACTGCGCTACTGGACTAGTCATCAAGTGGTGGACGATTTATTTCTGTTTTTCTTTTTGAAAGAACCTAGCACTGACTTCTTTAATTGTAAAGAGTAGCTATGAGGACCACCAACTATCTTTAAATACTCATGTGGAGCTAAACACGTATCAAACTTAATTCTTTTCTTTTCTCTCAATCTAGGTTAAACAGGTCAGGTAGCCTTTCAGGCCAGCAAGAGGCTGTGCTTGTTAACATACCAGTGACTGTTGGTGATTCTGGGGAGGCGTCAATAACCACAGCCTCCACGGAGGACTGAAGTTGCTGTTGGACACTGGGAAGGTCGGTGAATTCAGACACAGAGAGAGCATAACTGGGATCGTTTGATATCTCCTGCAGTTGTCTGCTATCAGCACTCCTGGTTCCAATTGCAAAGATCAAGACACCCAGCTGTTTGAGAGCAGAGGCTGGTGCATCAACACTGTCAAAAGACCTTCCACCACTTAGCAATATTAGGACCTGTGGAACTCCTTCCGGGCGCCTGCTTCCGGCAGAGGCCGTGAAGACATTATCCCCCAGGTACTGGAGGGCTGCTCCAGTGTTGAGGGGCCTTCCGCCTTTGTGCCTCAAACCTCTGACAGTGTCGAGGATCTCGGCTTTTGTGGTGTACGTGTTCAGATAAAACTGGACAGCTGGATCTCTGCTGTACTGAACCACTGAGACACGGTCTTTGTTGTCATCCACACTGAGTGTCTCTACTACTCTTTGGACAAAGTCTCGCATAGCTGGGAATCCACTTCTAGTACTATCAGATCCATCCAACAAGAACACAACATCCTTTCCTGGTGCCTTTCTCTCCACTAGGGAACATAGAAATTCAGACATATTTAGGTTCATGTGTTGAAAACGTTTCCGATGTGAAAGTCATATGACGAAAGCTAACCTCCATGTTTACACCTTACTTAACAAATTGCAGGCAAACCTGTTTTGTCAAAGTGGCACCGGCTGACCTCAACTTAGTAAAATACGCTTTAATGCAGTTCATGTTGCATCCTACCATGCTTTTGGAAGGTAAAAATCAGTCACTTTCTTACCAGGTACTATTGGTGTCACAGATGGGGCCCTCACTGGCACTGTGCTCATTACAGAGGAGAGCTGTTCTTGGACACTGGGGAGGTCAGTGAACTCAGTTACCGATAGAGCGTAACTAGGGTCATATGATATCTTCTGCAGTTCACTCTTGTCAGAGCCCCTTGTTCCAATGCCAATCACAACGACGCCCTGCTGTTTGAGAGCAGAGGCTGGGGTATCTACATTGTCAAAAGACCTTCCGCCATTTAGCAGGATCAACATCTGTGGAACACCTTGCAGGCGTCTACTCCCGGAGGAGTTTGTAAAGACGTTGTCCCTGACGTATTGGAGGGCTGACCCGGTGTTGAGGGGTCTGCCTCCTCTGTGTTTCAGCCCTCTGACCGAATCCAAAACATCCTCTCTTGTGGTGTACGTGTTCAGATAGAAATTGACCTCTGCATCTCTGCTGTACTGGACCACAGAGACACGGTCTTTGTTTTGTCCCACATTGAGTTTCTCCACAACTCTCTCAACAAACTCACGCATGGCGGGGAAGCCATACCTTGTGGAATCAGAACCATCCAGAAGGAACACGATATCTTTTCTGGCAGTGTCAACTGAGAAAGGACAGGAAGACAAAAAAATAAACACCTTTTCAAAGACTGCGCTACTGGACTAGTCATCAAGTGGTGGACGATTTATTTCTGTTTTTCTTTTTGAAAGAACCTAGCACTGACTTCTTTAATTGTAAAGAGTAGCTATGCAGACCACCAACTATCTTTAAATACTCATGTGGAGCTAAACACGTATCAAACTTAATTCTTTTCTTTTCTCTCAATCTAGGTTAAACAGGTCAGGTAGCCTTTCAGGCCAGCAAGAGGCTGTGCTTGTTAACATACCAGTGACTGTTGGTGATTCTGGGGAGGCGTCAATAACCACAGCCTCCACGGAGGACTGAAGTTGCTGTTGGACACTGGGAAGGTCGGTGAATTCAGACACAGAGAGAGCATAACTGGGATCGTTTGATATCTCCTGCAGTTGTCTGCTATCAGCACTCCTGGTTCCAATTGCAAAGATCAAGACACCCAGCTGTTTGAGAGCAGAGGCTGGTGCATCAACACTGTCAAAAGACCTTCCACCACTTAGCAATATTAGGACCTGTGGAACTCCTTCCGGGCGCCTGCTTCCGGCAGAGGCCGTGAAGACATTATCCCCCAGGTACTGGAGGGCTGCTCCAGTGTTGAGGGGCCTTCCGCCTTTGTGCCTCAAACCTCTGACAGTGTCGAGGATCTCGGCTTTTGTGGTGTACGTGTTCAGATAAAACTGGACAGCTGGATCTCTGCTGTACTGAACCACTGAGACACGGTCTTTGTTGTCATCCACACTGAGTGTCTCTACTACTCTTTGGACAAAGTCTCGCATAGCTGGGAATCCACTTCTAGTACTATCAGATCCATCCAACAAGAACACAACATCCTTTCCTGGTGCCTTTCTCTCCACTAGGGAACATAGAAATTCAGACATATTTAGGTTCATGTGTTGAAAACGTTTCCGATGTGAAAGTCATATGACGAAAGCTAACCTCCATGTTTACACCTTACTTAACAAATTGCAGGCAAACCTGTTTTGTCAAAGTGGCACCGGCTGACCTCAACTTAGTAAAATACGCTTTAATGCAGTTCATGTTGCATCCTACCATGCTTTTGGAAGGTAAAAATCAGTCACTTTCTTACCAGGTACTATTGGTGTCACAGATGGGGCCCTCACTGGCACTGTGCTCATTACAGAGGAGAGCTGTTCTTGGACACTGGGGAGGTCAGTGAACTCAGTTACCGATAGAGCGTAACTAGGGTCATATGATATCTTCTGCAGTTCACTCTTGTCAGAGCCCCTTGTTCCAATGCCAATCACAACGACGCCCTGCTGTTTGAGAGCAGAGGCTGGGGTATCTACATTGTCAAAAGACCTTCCGCCATTTAGCAGGATCAACATCTGTGGAACACCTTGCAGGCGTCTACTCCCGGAGGAGTTTGTAAAGACGTTGTCCCTGACGTATTGGAGGGCTGCCCCGGTGTTGAGGGGTCTGCCTCCTCTGTGTTTCAGCCCTCTGACCGAATCCAAAACATCCTCTCTTGTGGTGTACGTGTTCAGATAGAAATTGACCTCTGCATCTCTGCTGTACTGGACCACAGAGACAAGGTCTTTGTTTTGTCCCACATTGAGTTTCTCCACAACTCTCTCAACAAACTCACGCATGGCAGGGAAGCCATACCTTGTGGAATCAGAACCATCCAGAAGGAACACGATATCTTTTTTGGCAGTGTCAACTGAGAAAAGACAGGAAGACAAAAAAAATAAACACCTTTTCAAAGACTGCGCTACTGGACTAGTCATCAAGTGGTGGACGATTTATTTCTGTTTTTCTTTTTGAAAGAACCTAGCACTGACTTCTTTAATTGTAAAGAGTAGCTATGCAGACCACCAACTATCTTTAAATACTCATGTGGAGCTAAACACATATCAAACTTAATTCTTTTCTTTTCTCTCAATCTAGGTTAAACAGGTCAGGTAGCCTTTCAGGCCAGCAAGAGGCTGTGCTTGTTAACATACCAGTGACTGTTGGTGATTCTGGGGAGGCGTCAATAACCACAGCCTCCACGGAGGACTGAAGTTGCTGTTGGACACTGGGAAGGTCGGTGAATTCAGACACAGAGAGAGCATAACTGGGATCGTTTGATATCTCCTGCAGTTGTCTGCTATCAGCACTCCTGGTTCCAATTGCAAAGATCAAGACACCCAGCTGTTTGAGAGCAGAGGCTGGTGCATCAACACTGTCAAAAGACCTTCCACCACTTAGCAATATTAGGACCTGTGGAACTCCTTCCGGGCGCCTGCTTCCGGCAGAGGCCGTGAAGACATTATCCCCCAGGTACTGGAGGGCTGCTCCAGTGTTGAGGGGCCTTCCGCCTTTGTGCCTCAAACCTCTGACAGTGTCGAGGATCTCGGCTTTTGTGGTGTACGTGTTCAGATAAAACTGGACAGCTGGATCTCTGCTGTACTGAACCACTGAGACACGGTCTTTGTTGTCATCCACACTGAGTGTCTCTACTACTCTTTGGACAAAGTCTCGCATAGCTGGGAATCCACTTCTAGTACTATCAGATCCATCCAACAAGAACACAACATCCTTTCCTGGTGCCTTTCTCTCCACTAGGGAACATAGAAATTCAGACATATTTAGGTTCATGTGTTGAAAACGTTTCCGATGTGAAAGTCATATGACGAAAGCTAACCTCCATGTTTACACCTTACTTAACAAATTGCAGGCAAACCTGTTTTGTCAAAGTGGCACCGGCTGACCTCAACTTAGTAAAATACGCTTTAATGCAGTTCATGTTGCATCCTACCATGCTTTTGGAAGGTAAAAATCAGTCACTTTCTTACCAGGTACTATTGGTGTCACAGATGGGGCCCTCACTGGCACTGTGCTCATTACAGAGGAGAGCTGTTCTTGGACACTGGGGAGGTCAGTGAACTCAGTTACCGATAGAGCGTAACTAGGGTCATATGATATCTTCTGCAGTTCACTCTTGTCAGAGCCCCTTGTTCCAATGCCAATCACAACGACGCCCTGCTGTTTGAGAGCAGAGGCTGGGGTATCTACATTGTCAAAAGACCTTCCGCCATTTAGCAGGATCAACATCTGTGGAACACCTTGCAGGCGTCTACTCCCGGAGGAGTTTGTAAAGACGTTGTCCCTGACGTATTGGAGGGCTGCCCCGGTGTTGAGGGGTCTGCCTCCTCTGTGTTTCAGCCCTCTGACCGAATCCAAAACATCCTCTCTTGTGGTGTACGTGTTCAGATAGAAATTGACCTCTGCATCTCTGCTGTACTGGACCACAGAGACACGGTCTTTGTTTTGTCCCACATTGAGTTTCTCCACAACTCTCTCAACAAACTCACGCATGGCGGGGAAGCCATACCTTGTGGAATCAGAACCATCCAGAAGGAACACGATATCTTTTTTGGCAGTGTCAACTGAGAAAAGACAGGAAGACAAAAAAATAAACACCTTTTCAAAGACTGCGCTACTGGACTAGTCATCAAGTGGTGGACAATTTATTTCTGTTTTTCTTTGTGAAAGAACCTAGCACTGACTTCTTTAATTGTAAAGAGTAGCTATGCAGACCACCAACTATCTTTAAATACTCATGTGGAGCTAAACACGTATCAAACTTAATTCTTTTCTTTTCTCTCAATCTAGGTTAAACAGGTCAGGTAGCCTTTCAGGCCAGCAAGAGGCTGTGCTTGTTAACATACCAGTGACTGTTGGTGATTCTGGGGAGGCGTCAATAACCACAGCCTCCACGGAGGACTGAAGTTGCTGTTGGACACTGGGAAGGTCGGTGAATTCAGACACAGAGAGAGCATAACTGGGATCGTTTGATATCTCCTGCAGTTGTCTGCTATCAGCACTCCTGGTTCCAATTGCAAAGATCAAGACACCCAGCTGTTTGAGAGCAGAGGCTGGTGCATCAACACTGTCAAAAGACCTTCCACCACTTAGCAATATTAGGACCTGTGGAACTCCTTCCGGGCGCCTGCTTCCGGCAGAGGCCGTGAAGACATTATCCCCCAGGTACTGGAGGGCTGCTCCAGTGTTGAGGGGCCTTCCGCCTTTGTGCCTCAAACCTCTGACAGTGTCGAGGATCTCGGCTTTTGTGGTGTACGTGTTCAGATAAAACTGGACAGCTGGATCTCTGCTGTACTGAACCACTGAGACACGGTCTTTGTTGTCATCCACACTGAGTGTCTCTACTACTCTTTGGACAAAGTCTCGCATAGCTGGGAATCCACTTCTAGTACTATCAGATCCATCCAACAAGAACACAACATCCTTTCCTGGTGCCTTTCTCTCCACTAGGGAACATAGAAATTCAGACATATTTAGGTTCATGTGTTGAAAACGTTTCCGATGTGAAAGTCATATGACGAAAGCTAACCTCCATGTTTACACCTTACTTAACAAATTGCAGGCAAACCTGTTTTGTCAAAGTGGCACCGGCTGACCTCAACTTAGTAAAATACGCTTTAATGCAGTTCATGTTGCATCCTACCATGCTTTTGGAAGGTAAAAATCAGTCACTTTCTTACCAGGTACTATTGGTGTCACAGATGGGGCCCTCACTGGCACTGTGCTCATTACAGAGGAGAGCTGTTCTTGGACACTGGGGAGGTCAGTGAACTCAGTTACCGATAGAGCGTAACTAGGGTCATATGATATCTTCTGCAGTTCACTCTTGTCAGAGCCCCTTGTTCCAATGCCAATCACAACGACGCCCTGCTGTTTGAGAGCAGAGGCTGGGGTATCTACATTGTCAAAAGACCTTCCGCCATTTAGCAGGATCAACATCTGTGGAACACCTTGCAGGCGTCTACTCCCGGAGGAGTTTGTAAAGACGTTGTCCCTGACGTATTGGAGGGCTGCCCCGGTGTTGAGGGGTCTGCCTCCTCTGTGTTTCAGCCCTCTGACCGAATCCAAAACATCCTCTCTTGTGGTGTACGTGTTCAGATAGAAATTGACCTCTGCATCTCTGCTGTACTGGACCACAGAGACACGGTCTTTGTTTTGTCCCACATTGAGTTTCTCCACAACTCTCTCAACAAACTCACGCATGGCGGGGAAGCCATACCTTGTGGAATCAGAACCATCCAGAAGGAACACGATATCTTTTTTGGCAGTGTCAACTGAGAAAAGACAGGAAGACAAAAAAAATAAACACCTTTTCAAAGACTGCGCTACTGGACTAGTCATCAAGTGGTGGACGATTTATTTCTGTTTTTCTTTTTGAAAGAACCTAGCACTGACTTCTTTAATTGTAAAGAGTAGCTATGAGGACCACCAACTATCTTTAAATACTCATGTGGAGCTAAACACGTATCAAACTTAATTCTTTTCTTTTCTCTCAATCTAGGTTAAACAGGTCAGGTAGCCTTTCAGGCCAGCAAGAGGCTGTGCTTGTTAACATACCAGTGACTGTTGGTGATTCTGGGGAGGCGTCAATAACCACAGCCTCCACGGAGGACTGAAGTTGCTGTTGGACACTGGGAAGGTCGGTGAATTCAGACACAGAGAGAGCATAACTGGGATCGTTTGATATCTCCTGCAGTTGTCTGCTATCAGCACTCCTGGTTCCAATTGCAAAGATCAAGACACCCAGCTGTTTGAGAGCAGAGGCTGGTGCATCAACACTGTCAAAAGACCTTCCACCACTTAGCAATATTAGGACCTGTGGAACTCCTTCCGGGCGCCTGCTTCCGGCAGAGGCCGTGAAGACATTATCCCCCAGGTACTGGAGGGCTGCTCCAGTGTTGAGGGGCCTTCCGCCTTTGTGCCTCAAACCTCTGACAGTGTCGAGGATCTCGGCTTTTGTGGTGTACGTGTTCAGATAAAACTGGACAGCTGGATCTCTGCTGTACTGAACCACTGAGACACGGTCTTTGTTGTCATCCACACTGAGTGTCTCTACTACTCTTTGGACAAAGTCTCGCATAGCTGGGAATCCACTTCTAGTACTATCAGATCCATCCAACAAGAACACAACATCCTTTCCTGGTGCCTTTCTCTCCACTAGGGAACATAGAAATTCAGACATATTTAGGTTCATGTGTTGAAAACATTTCCGATGTGAAAGTCATATGACGAAAGCTAACCTCCATGTTTACACCTTACTTAACAAATTGCAGGCAAACCTGTTTTGTCAAAGTGGCACCGGCTGACCTCAACTTAGTAAAATACGCTTTAATGCAGTTCATGTTGCATCCTACCATGCTTTTGGAAGGTAAAAATCAGTCACTTTCTTACCAGGTACTATTGGTGTCACAGATGGGGCCCTCACTGGCACTGTGCTCATTACAGAGGAGAGCTGTTCTTGGACACTGGGGAGGTCAGTGAACTCAGTTACCGATAGAGCGTAACTAGGGTCATATGATATCTTCTGCAGTTCACTCTTGTCAGAGCCCCTTGTTCCAATGCCAATCACAACGACGCCCTGCTGTTTGAGAGCAGAGGCTGGGGTATCTACATTGTCAAAAGACCTTCCGCCATTTAGCAGGATCAACATCTGTGGAACACCTTGCAGGCGTCTACTCCCGGAGGAGTTTGTAAAGACGTTGTCCCTGACGTATTGGAGGGCTGACCCGGTGTTGAGGGGTCTGCCTCCTCTGTGTTTCAGCCCTCTGACCGAATCCAAAACATCCTCTCTTGTGGTGTACGTGTTCAGATAGAAATTGACCTCTGCATCTCTGCTGTACTGGACCACAGAGA